ATACTATAGCATTCTGTGCATTCAGAGAAATCTCTAAGATGCAGTAAACATCTTTTGATATTTTTTTTTCTTGTAACATTAATAACAAATAGCAGTATATTGTAATGTTATATATAACTTTTACCTTTGTGCCGTGTTATGGAAATATACTCAAACTTTCCTTTTACATAAATAAAAAGTAAAAAAAAAAAAAGAAAGAAAGAATGACAAAAAAGAAATATAGAAAATGTAATGTAATGATGTTTAAGAAATACATAACTACATTAATTGGTGCATTTTATGTCACAGGATTCAGTTTTAAATATAGATGAAAAAAAAATGAACAACACAACAGTTATCAGCTATTCCTGTCTTACATGGAAATTGACATTTAGGCATTGCAAAATGCCAGTAACAGGCAATGGACATTTCCCCGTTATAAATGCTATAGAAGCACGGCACGGATATAATGTCACCTGTATTTCAATAAAACAATATGAAAAAATAGGACTTCACTGCTTTATTGTATGTATTTATGTATGCATATTTCCTTCTCTCCCATGCCCCCTTGCTCTATGATAAACCACTTGAGTTCAAGCACTTTCAATCTTTATAAAACCTCTTGAGTACCCAGACTTTTTTTCAGGTTTTGGACGTGTACTATATTGTCCTAAAATTGCTGCTTTGTTTTGCAATCAACCTAGTCAATCTTGATATTGTTTTGGGTGACAGACAGTACTTTCGTTTGATACTATACTTTAATTGGTAGACATATTGTTTTAGAAGTGAGAAAAGAAATAAAAATGACGAAAAAGCAATTCTGAAAAAAGCTATTTTTACAATGGCAATGGCTCAGAAATGGCAGTACACCATTTCGGCAATATCTCAGGCCCGTGCATTATCTCTTCGAAGTTTCATAGACTACCCTTGAGCATAAAAACAAAAAAAAAACCCTACAAAACTGAGAGCAAGCAGGCTCTTTATTGCAGCAGAAACATGCCATGTCACTGCTGCAATAAAACAAATTTACCAGCCTGTTTGCAATCTCCTTTGTGCATGCCCAGCTCAACGTACATTCTCAGCACTTTGGGTTGATGCCTTAATGAATGATTACTATGCACATGCATGGGAGTCACATCAACCCCAGCCAGCCAATCTAGACAGCCCAAGAAGCTGGAGAGAAGATGTTAACACTGGCGATGGATGTATAAGTGAGTATCAAGAACTTTAGCTTAATGTATTATGAATCTTTTCTTTGAGACATATAGGGCTTTAATCTGGTAGCAGACGTGGATACATCTATTTTTGTTTCTTTGTTTTTTATTGGGAATAAATAAAAAATAAATAAATAATTTTTACTGTAATTTTCCTCAATGCAATGTTTATGTAATTAGTGCACCCCCATATATTTACCCCAAAATATAATAAAAAAAGGTCTGTTGATTAAAATGATATCACAACGGTGTGACTTTTATGTAACATAGCAGAATAGTAAAACTTACAATGAATGTATGCGTTTACTTTACAAGAGCTTTAATGATACACTGTGACACACGCAGGGAAAAAAACTGTTTTTGCAAAACTTTCAGAAAACATTCAGGCGGGTTGACGAGGAAACAAATTAGCTGAACAGTGACTTTTTTACAGGTCTCTAAAGATTCAACTCTAAAGATACTTGTACAGTGGACGCAAATGTAATCCAGATCACCCGACATCATTGTGGAGGGAATATTGCACGTAAACGCTTTTTTTCTATACAACAGAAAATTGATCAATAAAGCACAGGTGCTGCGTGCAGCCACCCATAGAAATGAATGGCTGTGCGTGGTTGTATGCGGGTATATTGCATAAACACACATGTAGCGTACAGATGTGTTCCCACAACACAGAGGTGGGAATTCATCAAAACTGGAGCAAGCAAAATCTGGAGCAGTTGCCCATGGCAACCAATCAGCATCTCTCTTCAGTTTGCCCAGGTAACATTTGAAAATGAGAGAGAAGCTGATTGGCTGCATTGCAAATCTGCTCCAGACTTTTTTCCCCCCAGAAAGTCTGTTGTCGTAAACACGCATATAGCATATGGGCTTTCTGCATTCAGAGAATATGTCCGTATTCTTTATGTCAGTACCAGCAGACAACTACACACAGCCAATTATTTAAATTGGCAGCTAAATGCAGCACCTGTGCTTCCAGGGCAAAAAAAATCACAAGAATTTTACATTGTATGGACAAAAGCATCTGTTTGCAGTGCAGTATATACCTTTTTGTATATTTATTCCCCCCCCCCCTCCATGCAGCTTTAATATTGATCTATTGCTGGCTGCAATTAGCCAGCAATAGATCACTAAAGCAGTGATCGGATACTGTATGGAGAGGCTGGACAAAGATATTACAGCTCTGCCTGACCTTCCGCAGAGAATGGGACTGTGGCAATGATGGCACTACACTCCCAATGTAAACTCAACATTCACTTTCACAGCGTGCTCCTGTGGTGTGGTCTGTGAAAGCGTCAGAAATCTGGCAACCGATCTTTTCAGCTCCTGGGCTTAGCACTAGATCAAATCTGTCAAAAACAGCCAGAGGTTCCATCCTTCACCTCCGCCGGACCCGCTGCTGTTTTAAAATGATGCTGGGAAAAATTATCGCTATCGAGGTGCTGTTTTAAAATGGCGGCTGAGATTCAAGTGCTTAAGCTCCATGGGGAGGCAAAACATGTTAGAGAGAGGCTGATGGTGGGGTGTCTAGCAGTTTTGGTTCTAGAAAAATAGGTTGATTTCGCCCTCTAGCTGTTCTCAGCTCTCTCACAATCATATAACAATATGACTTAAAGGAGAATTATGAGGCGAGTGAAAATCACTCAGCCTCATAGTTCTAGCCGACCTGTGACAATGAAACTGTCACACGTCGGCTCAATAGATCGGGAAGTGAGAGAACACATACCGTCGCTCGTTCACTTCTCGATCCTGTCCCTGCAGAGAGCCATGACTGTCACTCACTGCTCCCTGCAGGGATTCCCCCCCCTCCGATCCTCCATCGCTGACTGGCGGAACGGACAGGGGAGGGGGCGGGTACAGCTGGCGCTGCCTCTAGATAGGCAGAGCCAGCTGTCACTCACGCAGCTGGGTGGATCCAGACAGTAATGTTGAGATCCATTCCGGCTGCGGCATCTCAGTATACCGCGAGCTGTAGCTCGTGGTATACTGAGCTTTGGGTGATGGGAGGACGCTAGTTTGTGTCCTCCCGTTACCCTTAGAACTATGGGGAAAAGCCCTGACCCCATAGTTCTCCTTTAGTCCTTGAAAAATATACATTTTCAATTTAAAATAGGCAAAATGGTCATTGCCACTCTTTTTTTATGTTTCTGCAAAGGGTTCAAACCCCCCCCCCCCCCTTCTTTGCCAGCGCTCCCTTGCGTTCCTCCTCCCCAGCTGGCAGTGAAATGACTGGTATTGCCGAAGAGGTATGTCATGGACTGGATGCTAGAGTCAAGCACTGTTGCAGGGTAGGAGGTCACATGCTCTTCAGTACTTGGAATTCCTGGGTAGCTAGGTGTGGGTTATGTAGAGCACTGTAGAGGGAACGCTGCCAACCAGAGTATAAGGGTTGTGTCACATTGGTCTGTATGTGCAATATGTCTCTTTAGTGCTAACCTTCAAGCAGGTATAAAAGACACATTAATGCAGCTCTGTATTCATTCATAAATAAGTGTATTCAAAGATTTTTTTTTCTTTTTACAGGTTTTAAACCCTTGCTCTTTATAGAACTGAAGAAAAAGTTTGGGCTTTAGATATACTTTAAATGTATTTTGAGCCTCTTTTAACTCTCTGTGCAGCAGCATCATGGGAGCCTGAAAGAAGGAGGAGCAGCACTGAAAGTTGATCAGATGAGCTGCATGCAAATATGCTGACAAAGACCAAGTTGACAGGAGGAGAGAGCAGAAACACAACCTCATCAGTATGCTGCTGCTCTTTCACTATCTAGTCACAGAGTTATAAAAGCAGCCTGGTTGTGCAACAGGGCTGTGTAAATATTAAGTCTGAATGGACAGACATGCAGGTGCTTTGGCAGGTACAGCAGCTCCCATATATGTATTTTATCAGTGTATTTTATTTTCTGCCCCGAGTTCAGCTTTTACCCTTTCTTATCCTGCATTCTTCCCACTATCCCCCAATGTAAGGGGTATTCTTTACACTATCCCCCAATGTAACTGCCATTCTTCCTGTTGCCCCCCTATGTAACTGCCATTCTTCCCAATGTCCCTTATGTAAGAAGCATTCTTCTCACTATTCCCCAACGTAAATGGCACTATTCCCCACTGCACCCAATATAAGGGGAATTCTTCTTGCTGTCCTCTAACATAAGTGCCATTCTTCCTATTGTCCCTCAATGTAAGGGACATTTTTCCCTTTGTCCCCCAATGTAAGGGACATTCTTCATGGTACATTCTTGCCACCATCCCCAAATGTAAGGGGCATTCTTCCCACTAACCACCAATGTAAGGGGCATTTTTCCTGTTGCCCCCAATATAAGGGGCATTATTTCCACTATTCCCCAATGTAAAGGGCATTCTTTCCACTGACCCCCAATGAACTGATTTTACTAGGGGTTCCCTGATACCCATAAATGATTTCACGATTTCCTCTGTTGTAAACGTTTCAGAAAGTCTGAAACAGACACTTTGATACTCCGACTTTCCTTTCAATTTGCAGTCTACACATTATAAACTATACACAGCTATGGAAGGAAGACAGAGAGGCCCTAGAAGAAGGGCTCCTGGGGCCAACAGATAGTGCATGTAGCGGAACACACGCACAGACCCCGATTACAGGTGACACCTGCAAGTCGCACAGCCTCGTCCACCCGATCCTCACTGTTTACCGTCTTTGTTGTGATCTGGAAGTCAGTTCCTGATTGGATGAGACGTCTCCATCGCTCGCTCACCATTGGTTGACCTCTTGGAATCCCCGCCTCTTTCGTGTCCCTGCCGGTAACGTCATCACACTGGGGGTGTGGCCACACGCTAAGCAAGATGGCGGCTGAGAATTCTGGCCGGCACCGGGTGCGGCGGTTAGCCGGTGTATAAAGCTGAGAAGGGGATGAGGAGGAGGAGAAGTCGCAGCAGCCGGTGAGAGAAGCTGTGTGGGGAATGGGGTGTGGTCGGGCTCCGGTACTGGAAGGCTTTAGGAGAATCTACGAGAAGGCGGCTTCACGCCCATAGCCGTGTATTATGACTTCATTGGGAGAAAGTCCGGGTGAGGGCGGCGAGTTACCTGTGTGCTCACCTTGTGCCTCCCCAGCCATGCTGGAACTGGAAGCCCCGTCTTCTACTGCTCAGCATTGACGTCTGTTATGATTATATTCTGTTCTGGGCTTCTATGCATCTGGTCATAAACTATGCAATCTGATTGTACAATCTCCTTTACAGCTACCATTGACTTGTAATACAAGGGCCTGCCTCAGTTCATACTCCTTGACTGGATTGCTTGGGTTTGTCCTTATATTACACAGCTTTGTAAAGGAGATTGTACAATCAAATGTCTAGTATATGGGCAGCTTTGCCTTTCTTTTCACAGTGCTAACTGCCTGACTGTCCTATTGATGCATTGGCTTCAGAGTCACATACCGGGAAGGGAATTTATCAAAACTGGAGCAGACAGAATCAAGCCCATGGCAACCAATCACCTTCTCTGTTTCATTTTCAAAGCTTATCAGAACAAACTGAAGAGAGAAGCTGATTGGTCACTATGGCCAACTGCCCCCCGTAGTTCTGACTGCCCATTGACTTTGGCAGCATGCTTCTTCACAGATAGTAACTAGGGATGTTTGTGGGTTGATATGGACTGAGTTTGCCCAAAACCATAGCTGTCAGTGACACCCCATTCTGGCCCATTAAGTTGTGGCCGGGGCATTCCTTGCCCCTTAGTTATGTGTAGCTGCGGAGCAGGAAGTGCCCCGACTGCAACTGATAGGGTCGGGAGGGGGTGTCACAGTCTTGTGTGGCCCTGGGTGATCTTGGTTCACACTGTGCACATCACTAATGGTGACCTAGAAAGTATTGTGGTCTGACAGCCAGGCAGTGAGCATTTTATCAAGGATTTAGCAATGGCACACTTACATTGGTATTTGAAGTTTAAAAAAGACACACGTCCATCAAGTTCAGCTTTTGTGTGTTGTGTATGCATGTATGATTGTTTGAGTCCTTGTGTGGTCTAAGCACCATGTTTGTTTTTTGGCAGTTTTTATTCTTAGAATAATAATAATAATAATAATAATAATACAAGAGTGCTGTGGCACTGACATTTTGTGCAGTGCTTTACGAAATAAAGTTGCAATACAATTCAGTGTGTGTTGGGTTAGGAGAGCCCTGCTTGTCAAAGCTTACAATCCAAAACTAGTTTCCCTTTCCTGTAAAGTGAAACCGATGCAGCAAGCTGTGTGTGTCTTTACAAAGTACTTTAGTACTCTTCCATAGAGGGGTCACCATGCTAGTGGTTGGAGCCCAGAAATACTTATGAGCACCTAGCTCTTCAGTGAGCTTCTTTAAGTGACATTTCAATAAAGTTTTAACAAAACAAAAAAGTACACCAAATGCGAAGAGCTGGGATTAATGCTTTGGCACTGTTCCGGGGCAACACACACCAAATGATGTGCGATTAGCGCAGCGTCTTGTGTGAATGTAACAGCCACTGTGAAAGTGCTATAAAAAACCTGCCTAGTTTCCCTTTTCTTTCCTGTTGTAAGGCTGGTCTTATAACTTATAAGTTATAAGATCTTATAACTTTCACATTGTTTACTAATAACAGCGGCGGCATCAAAACACCACAACTTGCTCTAGTATGAGGACATGGGTGTCTCATACTTGATGCGTAATGTGATTGGCAGACCAGAAGTTTAGGTCTATCGCTGACAGGAAAAAATAAATTGTGGGATCACAGAAATAAAAACTGGGTACAGCACTTTTGTTGCAGGAGACCTGGATGTAACTTATCATGTAATCAATCACTTCTGTTCTGTCTTCTCTGAAGCAAGGAAGAAGCTGGAAACTACAGGCCAGTAAGTTTAACACCTGTAGTAGCAAAATGAATAGAATCACCAAAAAGAAGGATCTGTTATCATTTCAAATCACTCAACTTGCTGTACCCAACATGGCCTTACTGAGGGCAGACCAAGCCAAAATGATCTGAGCATGTCACAAATGTTTTGAACCTGGGTGATGGTTTGGATACAGCCTATCTTGATCTCAGGAAAGCATTTGATACAGTTCCACGTCATAGTATCATATAAAAGTTGTACAAGCCGGGACTTAACCCTTGGGTAGTTCAGTTGATATGAAGTTGTCTAAAGTCTTGGTTCTCAACTGGTGGGTCGTGACCCTGTGTTCAGTGGGTTGCCGCATGCTTTCCACTTTTCTGCACCTCCTGCCGCCCCCTAGCGCAGCACTGTCAGTCCTCACAACGAGCAGTCATTCCAAATATGCTGCCTGGCACCGAGTGTCAGCTTGAGGTGGGGTCTATGGACGCGAGGGAGCTCCATCCATACGTGCATTGCTAACAACTCTCTCACGTGCCCTGTAGAGGTTCCTGGACTGGAGTGATGTCACATTCTGGCTCCTGGCACCTCTACAGGGTGCGCAAGGAAGGTGTACAAGCAATGCCCATATGGATGGAGCTCCAGCATAGCAGCCCACACTGGACCCCAGGCTGAGGATCCAATTTAGTTCTCTTAAGGTAGGGTTTCTGGGTGGACCTAAAAAAAAGTGTCAGAATGGTACCCTAAACGCACCTCCCACCCACAGTTCGTACTCTGGCACCAGAACACACGGTACCCTAATGCTGTGCGTTCCATTGCAGTGCCACTAGGTTACGACTTAATGACTGAGGACAAATGTGGGTCCTGAGGTTATACAGGTTGAGAACCACTGATCTAAAGGATAGATTTCAGAGTGTGGTTGTAAATGGGGTTCGTTCGGGACAGACACCATTCACTGGTGGTGTATGATAAGGCTCTGTACTAGGTCCTTATATATAGAAAGCCTCTGCACTATGCACTAGTTATTTCAAAAGTGAAGCCACCAACACTTTCTGATGTGTAAACACAATCCAAAACATATATTGTAAAAATCCTATTGTTTGTTGCTCTGTATGAGGTCCTGTTCTGTTTCATCTGTGTGCAAGGTTTGGTGGGAAGGTGTGTCTTTGCTGATGACACAAAATGTGTGTACTAGGGTTGGCGTGTATGTAACATGGAAAATGATTTGGCATTGCTGAAAGATTGTTTAAAGCAGTTGTGTTTCTAAATGCAAAATAATAAAATAAGGAAAATCAATTTTTAGAGTAAATGTTGGGTGTGCAGTGTTGTCCAAAAATACGGAGCAAAAAGATCAAACAGGGATGATTATTTCAGATAATTGCAAAATAGACAAAAAGCGCAGCCATGCAGCCGGGGAAGCAAAAATAATTTTGGGTTGCATCACTACAGTGACCACCAGCAAGAGAAGGGAGGTCTTCATCTCCCTATATAAATCCTATTTATTATGGGTATTTATATAGTGGCATCAATTTTAATGCATCACTTTACATAGTGGCACATTCACATCAGTCCCTGTCCTCAAGGATCATACAATCTATCTTACATAGAGGGCCAATTAACCTACCAACATGTCTTTTGGAGTGTTGGAGGAAACCCACGCAAGCACAGGGTGAACATGCAGATTCCTTGCAGATAGTGTCCTGACTGAACCGGGGACCACCAGTGCTGCAAGGAAGAAGCGCTAACCACTACGCTACTGTAGACCTCATTTAGAATACAGTTCTGGAGACCTCACGTACAGAAAGATAGAATGAATCTAGAGACAACAATAAAAATCAGTGAAAGGTCTGAGGGGGTAAAACATATTTGGATGACAGCGCACTCCCCGAAACTCCGGTAGTAACAGCAGAAAGTGAGTGGTGGTCACGGAAAGCGACTTAAAACTTGAGAAGAGTAGAAGATGGACAAGTTGCGTAGAGTGTTAAATGGACATGAAGATGAGGAGCGCGGGTTAACAGCTCAAGTTTTGGATTCATCGTCACTAAATTTTGGTACTCGAGTGAAATGGTTTGCAGTATGCTTTATTTTGGGAATTGCATTTTCGATTCTTGGGAGTGCACTTCTTTGGGTTCCTGGTGCAGGAATAAAACTTTTTGCCGTATTTTTTACACTAGGAAATGTTGCTGCCTTAGCCAGCACTTGCTTTCTTATGGGACCGGTGAAACAGCTTAAAAAAATGTTCGAACCAACCAGACTTATTGCTACAGTAGTTATGTTGCTTTGTCTAATTTGTACCTTATGTGCTGTGTTTTGGTGGAAAAAGAAAGGACTGGCACTTCTCTTCTGCATCTTGCAGTTCCTTGCAATGACATGGTACAGCATCTCCTACATTCCATTTGCAAGGGATGCCATTATTAAATGCTTTTCCAGCTGTTTGAATTGAAGTGCAAACACAAGATTGTTGTTGCAAAAATGGATGGACCATTCTGACACCGCTTTTTTGTGCAAAGCACAAATATATGATTTCAGTAAACAAGAGTTTTTTTCTAAATGTATATTTACGGTGATATGTTGGTTGTAGCTACTGCATTTGAATCTTTTCTAGACTCTTCTCTTATTACTTCACAGTGTTCTACTTCAAACCTTATGCTAGTTTTAACAGATTTGAAGATTTAATTAATCTGCTTTTTTGTCTAGTCCTGTTGAAGTTAAAAAAGATTAGGTAAGGAAACTAAAAATATACATTTTAAAAAACAGGAATGTCCCAGCATATGTAAACAGCACTTTTGCAATCCCTAATAAAAGTTAACTACAATCTATAACATGTTAGCATTACAAAAAGTATAACATTGTTAGTTTCTTTTATTAGCAGAGAAAATAAAAAAACCCACTGTGAACAGTGGAAAAAAAAACAAAAAACATTCGGATAGACTGCAGAAACATATACAGTATACCAGGGGTAGGACATCTTCGGCCCTCCAGTTGTGATGAAACTAGAAAACCCTTTATGCATCTTTTGCTGGGAGTGATGCCTGTAGTCTTGCAATGCCTCATGGGGTTTGTAGTTGTGCCACAGCCAAAGAAAAGAGTTTGCCTACCCCTGGTATACACAGTGTTGAGGAATGAAAGAAAAGGGGTTACATGACTGACACATTTAAATACATTCAAGTGTATCTCAAGGCAAAAGCTTTTTTCTTCTTTTGTTTTTGTTTGCTGTCTCTGTCCTTATTATGGAGAATCACTCCTCCTTTTTATCCTGATGTTCATTGCCACAGAGAAGGAAAGTGAGGGAAAATCCAAAATGTTAATAATAATAATAATAATAATAAGGGGAAATTATTTTAATCCTTCCCTACTCAATCCAAAAATATATAAAAAAAAAAAGAGTTTTGGCTATACATATGGTTTCAGGGCCCATTCCCACCATAGCATTGCAGTCATTTCACTATAACGTGCAATTAAAGCATGCTAGCGCTCAATGCTCCTAGCAAGCATTACCATGCTCTAGGTGCATTGCCGATAATTTAAGTGGAACTCCAAGGCATCTCCCAGCCACTGTGTGCTGCAGTACCACAATACCTTGCATTGCAGTATGGTGAAAAAACTAAAGAAGTGCATGTCTCACTCTCTATGTATACCGCTTATGGACCAGAACAGTTTTTACATTTCTGCTATGGGCCTATTGATGCGATAATAACTTTGTCATGCAAGTGGAATATATATCTTTTTTATTTTCTGGACAAGCAAAGCTTTATATTTGTGATATTTACTTGCAAAAAAGATTTATTTTTCTATGCACTCTGTAGACAAATAAGTATAACATACCTTTTCTGAGCAGTGTTAGTTCTAAAACAGCTTGTGATTCTGTAGATGAAAGGTACACATTTACAGGGTTATTCACTAAAGGTTGAAGAGTTTGGAGAAGGCAGGAGAAGTGAAGAATCTAGGACAACATAGCTGAACTGGAACGTGAGCTGAATTGGAGAATTGTTCCAAATCAGCTATGTTGTCCTAGATTGTTCACTTCACCAAACTCTTCACCCTTTTGTGAAAAACCCTGTGAGTCTTTCATTTTTCCGGCTTAAAATGACGATTCTGAAACCTTGCAAAGTTACTTACATAACAAAGCAAATTGGAGGGAAAAATTTTTATACTTTAAAGTAAAAAAAAAAAAAAGGAAGGATGGGAGAATGGAGATAATGATGACTAAAGTTAAATATGAACACGTTCAATTTTTTTTTTTACTGTAGCTTTACTTGACGTATGTCACTTGTGACATTTCAATAAAGTTCCTAAAAAACAGTTCAGTGCGATGTGCCAGGATTAGTCTTTTAGCACTGTACTGAGTACTGCACACCAGCTGCTATCCAATTTAGCCACTTTAATAGCAAGTCCCTGCTGTTAATTTGACAGCTAGGAATTGCCAGTGTTCTATCGAAAGCTCCGACTTGTCGAGCTCTCCGACTGGGCACGTCACATCCGGTGACTGCCAGTAGACGTACAGCAGATGGAGCTAGTGCGGATGGGTAGAAAATCCTTGTGGAACTGTCAAACTATTGCCACTGCTCCTGCATGGCTAGCGGCTCATCGGATTCTATAACCTAGGACAAACTTATATTTGTCCTAGGTTATAGAAGCCGATAGTCGCGTAGGCGCAGTGGCAACTGTGGTTGTAGAAATAATCATGTGGCCCACGCAGGCGCTGTAACATAATATCTTTGACTAGGTTATCCAATGAGGCAATAGCCACAGCGCCTGCACGGCTATCGGCTTCTATAACCTGGGACAAATATAACTGTAGTAGGTTATAGAAGTGGATAGCCGCGCAAGCGCGGTGGCAATAGTTAGACAGTTCGACAAGGATTTCTTGGGCATGCGCACTAGCACCATCTGCTGTACATCTCTTACTGGCAGTCACCGGATGTGACGTCACCAATGTAGAGGTGGGCAAGTTGGAACTTTCGATAGAACAGCAGCAAGAACGACAGGAAGGGGTGAGGAACAGGGTGTGCTATGTTTGACCTTTGTACTTCGTTGACATTTTTAAAGCATGTTAAAGGTCTGCATCTCCAAACTAAAGCTAAAGGTCGATTTTAATGGCTTCAGCAATGTAACTCAAAATGTACTAAAAAGCAATGCAAACATTTAGTAAAAGCTCACTGTACTTACTGACCTAAAGCTCATCCGTTTTCAAAACAAATACAGACACTACAGCTTTTCTCACTACAAAGTGGAGATTTGCTCAGGTGGTGAGAATGAACACTGACCCTCTTTGTTAGAATTCAGTTTGAAAAAGGGAAACCAGTGATTTCGTAAGAAGAGAGAAAGCAGTCGAGCTTTCTGAAATATTTGGGATGTATATAGTTAACCTGGAGGTAAATATTTTTTTTTTCTCAGGAAGCCTGAAATTGCACTGATAATTGCCATGCCCCCTTTTTTTCTGTAGCAAACACAAGGTCCGGTTGTTTAATATCTGGTACTTTGGACATCTTAGATAACTAAGCCTTATAAAGTAGTTAATTTGGTGCCAGTGCAATAAAGCGATTTATTCAAGGACAATGTCTACCTTTTTATTTCCTGTGGTTTGATGGACTTATATGATCCACTTTAAAGAAGAACTCCATTTCATTATTTGTATTCATTTTTTTATAAACTGAAATATTTTTTATCGGACGAAGTCCGCGTTCTCGCTGGAGAGGCCCCGGGGGTGACAGGCTGCACATACTAAGGTAAGAGGGGACTTTCTTATTAATCGGGAAGCCGGGTGGCGACTCTTTACACGCTGCCCGGCTTCCCGGCTAATCAGGAAGCCAGGTGGCGAGTCATTACACGCCACCTGGCTTCCTGAATGGGACTTCCGTTACTCGGTAATTGGTATCGGCGAGTACCGAAAAAAATTATCGGTACTCGGTACCAAAATACCGGTATTGGTGCATCCCTAATAACCTACAATCATGAATGAACAGGAAGCGATGTAGACCACTCCCATTCATTCATAATTGATAACACAGTACACATACTATGTCCTCAATTATTTACAAACACTCAGCGATCACTGACTGCTTATGGCCGCCTGTGACAGTTTTTCTCCTCCCCACTGGGACACAGAGCAGCGCCCAGCGGGTAGGAGAGAAATCACGGATGCGCTGCTATAGCGGCAGAATAATGGCACTTTCGGCATTTCGCCAAACGTGACATTTTCAGCCGATCTGTTTCGGCGGCCGATTTATCAGTGCATCCCTAGTATTAACCCTTGCAGTGATGCTACCTCCACACTGCAAGGGTTAACTGCTAATTTTTTTCTAGGTTAAAAAACCCCCCCAAAAAGTTATACTCACTCGATCCTTTGAGCCGGCTTGTTCTTAGACCGGTCCCTCCTCTGCAGCAGTCTAAGGTCCTGTAAATCATCACATCTATACACTGTGCATAGATGTGAGAATGTTGAGGAAGATTCCAATGCTGCATCGGGTGAGTATAACGTTATTTTTTTTCAACCTAGGCAAAAACGAGCACTTAAAGGAGAACTATGGGGTTAGGGCTTTTCCCCATAGTTCTCCTTAGTGTAAGGGGAGGACACAAACTAGCGGCCTCCCGTCACCCTAAGCTCAGTCAGCGCTGGAGGATTGGTGGGGGGAATCCAGTCCCTCCCCTGTCACGGCAGAGAGCTGTGACAGGATTGAGAAGTGAGCGAACGCCGGTATGTGTTCGCTCACTTCCCGATCTACTGAGCCGACCTGTGACAGTTTCATTGTCACAGGTCGGCTAGAACTATGATGATGAGTGAAAAGCACTCACCTCATAGTTCTCCTTTAACCCTTGCAGTGCTGGGGTAGCGCCACTGCAAGGGTTAAGTAAAGGTTTTCCTGGAATTCTTCTTTAAAAATCATTTTTGGATCTTGTAACCTTTTCAGCATGGTGCATGCTTCCACTGTGGTGGGATAGTTAATTGCGAGATGGATTTTATGAAGTGTTCTTGTTTATTATGTTTATATGATTGATTGCATAAAGCTCTTGTACACTTACAAAAACGAATTTCTCTAGTTTAGTGGCGAACATGAATATTAGGGAGTATTTGAGGAATGCATAAACTGACAGCTAAACAAAATAGCAAAGCAAATAGACATTTTCTCTTCTATTCAAGGATCATATATAGCTATTTTTAAACAATGTTTAAACTGAGAAAATGTAAAATTTTAAGAAAAAAATAAGATGTTTTGAAAGCATAAGGGGAGCAGGATCTGTGTGTACGGGGGATGTGGATCACATTGGATCATGTTTTTTTAGCACCAGCAGTGATGATAGTTTTGACTATACCACTCAATTTGGGTAATATATAAAAGGACCACGGATTTATTTTTGGGATTTTATAAAGTTGATATGAGTGTATTTATGTAGTTACTCTTTCATATTAAGTTTTGAGTCCTTTGTATTGTGTTAATAAGTATATGTTAATCAACTTTAATTCACTTTTTACTGTGATTTGCACACTGATCTTTTTGTTAGAGTTTTATATATGTTTGCATGCTTTATGTTGTTTGACCATTTTATGTTCT